AGATAACGCTGTATCATGTAAACCCGACGATGTGGCAGATGACGCTGTATTATGTAATCCCGACTATGCGGCAGATAACGCTGTATTATGTAATCCCGACAAGAATGCAGATAACGCTATATTCTGTTATCCCGACGAGGCTGCAGATAACGCTATATTCTGTTATCCCGACGAGGCTGCAGTTAACGCTATATTATGTTATCCCGACGAGGCTGCAGATAACGCTATATTATGTTATCCCGACGAGGCTGCAGATAATGCTGCATTATGCTGTCCCGATAAGGCTTCATATACCGATATCACTTGGCAACAAGTTAACATGAGACTACAGATACATGACCACTGTCTACTGTTATCTCTGTGATGCTAGTTGCAGACATCCCTGTGTAAGGTATCAATGGTGGTAATGTAGTTTCAAGGCACAGATACCACAGATCAAGGTTACACCATTCAAGGCCTCAGTAAAGCTTTCAAAAAAATGTTTTATGGTAGTCGTGGAGAACATTTCCAAATTTGACGCATCAAATTTTGACTAGTGCCATATGTTCCCATGTTTTTTTAGGTGAACAATTGACTTGCCTTTGTATGTGTTTGTGACGGGTGCCACCGGTGCCATACGCTCACCTTTTCGCAAACACCTGGTATCATCACTATTTGATATTGATTCATTATTATGCTCATGATATAATCGGAATTTTTGTCGCTTTATTTACATGATCTCCGCGGACCACCCTTACAGTGAATGATAGCTCTGATCACTGCCACACAGCCACGGAACACCCTTACAGTGAATCATAGCCCTGTTCATTTTAACACAGCCGCGGAACACCCTTACAGTGAATCATTGCCCTGATCATTGTAACACAGCCGCGGAACACCCTGGCAGTGAATCATAGCCCTGATCACTGACACACAGCCACGGAACACCCTGGCAGTGAATCGTAGCTCTGATCATTGCCACACAGCCACGGAACATCCTGGCAGTGAATCATAGCCCTGATCATTGTAACACAGCCGCGGAACACCCTGGCTGTGAATCATAGCCCTGATCACTGACACACAGCCACGGAACACCCTGGCAGTGAATCCTAGCGCTGATCACTGACACACAGCCACGGAACACCCTGGCAGTGAATCGTAGCTCTGATCATTGCCACACTGCCACGGAACACCCTGGCAGTGAATCGTAGCTCTGATCACTGCCACACAGCCACGGAACACCCTGGCAGTGAATCATAGCGCTGATCATTGTAACACAGCCACGGAACACCCTGGCAGTGAATCGTAGCTCTGATCATTGTAACACAGCCACGGAACACCCTGGCAGTGAATCGTAGCTCTGATCACTGCCACACAGCCACGGAACACCCTTACAGTGAATCGTAGCCCTGATCATTGCCACACAGCCACGGAACACCCTGGCAGTGAGTCGTAGCTCTGATCATTGTAACACAGCCACGGAACACCCTGGCAGTGAATCATAGCTCTAATCATTGTAACACAGCCACGGAACACCCTGGCAGTGAATCGTAGCTCTGATCACTGCCACACAGCCACGGAACGCCCTTACAGTGAATCGTAGCCCTTATCATTGCCACACAGCCACGGAACACCCTGGCAGTGAATCGTAGCTCTGATCATTGTAACACAGCCACGGAACACCCTGGCAGTGAATCGTAGCCCTGATCTTTGCCACACAGCCACGGAACACCCTGGCAGTGAATCGTAGCTCTGATCATTGTAACACAGCCACGGAACACCCTGGCAGTGAATCATAGCCCTGATCATTCTAACACAGCCACGGAACACCCTGGCAGTGAATCATAGCCCTGATCATTCTAACACAGCCACGGAACACCCTGGCAGTGAATCATAGCCCTGATCATTGTAACACAGCCACGGAACACCCTGGCACTGAATCGTAGCCCTGATCATTCTAACACAGCCACGGAACACCCTGGCAGTGAATCATAGCCCTGATCATTCTAACACAGCCACGGAACACCCTGGCAGTGAATCATAGCCCTGATCATTCTAACACAGCCACGGAACACCCTGGCAGTGAATCATAGCCCTGATCATTGTAACACAGCCACGGAACACCCTGGCATTGAATCGTAGCCCTGATCATTCTAACACAGCCACGGAACACCCTGGCAGTGAATCATAGCCCCGATCATTCTAACACAGCCACGGAACACCCTGGCAGTGAATGGTAGCGCTGATCATTGTAACACGGCCACGGAACACCCTGGCAGTGAATCATAACCCTGATCTCTGCCACACAGCCACGGAACACCAGGCAGTGAATGGTAGCGCTGATCACTGCCACACAGCCACGGAACACCCTGGCAGTGAATCGTAGCGCTGATCTGTGTCATGCAGCCTGGGAACACCCGTCACTTGCTCTGGAATGGCAAAGTAGATAATGGATCTCTGCGATGACGTGTTCAACATTGATTAAATGTTACATGAAGGCTGCGTCGATTGTGCGAATATAATAGCCTCAGGTTTCAACGGCTGCATACTAATCAAATTATCTGTATCCTCTTGTAGAGTAGTAAACTGCGGAGCGTTCACAGACAAGAACTATGGGTGATGAATACTTGGTTGTGTTTGAGCTTTATGAAGACCGCTTTTTTCTAGCGGTGTGTCACTTATGAGTCAAAGGGAGGTAATTCAAAACTGACAGTGTCGGTTTATAGATTATAACTTTGTTGAGGCATAATAGCTAGATGGACACATGAACGAAGGGATGGATCAGTGGGTGGGTGAATAGGTGAGTGGGTTGGAGGATAGGTAGGTACATATATAGACATCTGTCTCTGAATTAGAGGTTTGAATCTATCAAAAACCTTTGGGCCTTTTGCTTCTTAGGTCACTCAATGTTAAACACCTATATCATTAGTTAAGCTCTCTCGTCGTTATCTCAACAGTCAGTTCCAAAATATCGAAGCAACGGTTAGGATTAGTTATTGTAATTGCGCGGGTAACCATGAACATATTAAAACTGTCTATTTGAAATTTTATAATGAATCGTCTTATCGTGAGCTACTACTATGCAAGTATATGATTCACACACTTACATGTAGATAACGTGATTTGTGATAACCCCTGTCTCTGAACTGAAATCAGAAATGTTCTTACTGACGATAAATATGCAGCGGCAGCATGGACGTATGTAAGTTTCAGTGGCGTGCCTGTGCAAATCCGTTCTAAGAGATCAATATCCTTTGAAGATTCCACGATATTCCCACACAGGCATTGAAGAAACTCAACGTTTTCCGTTTAACTCTTATCTGTCACATGTCTATTCCTGGTTCAGTTTTATATCAGTTCTATTCCGACCATTAACGCTTTCTTATCAGCTGTACTAAAAACATATTTACACATTTTCAATTGTGATTTGACAGCATACATGGCAGGCAGAATGTCATTAACGTAACGTGGATTAGATATTACTAATGATAAATGTTGGGTCTAGATTATATTGATAGATTGCAAACGTAATGATGTTGGTGTATTTTCATTGTCGAATGTACAGCTTTCGGAACTCTTATTTACATAGCATTGCAACAGCGTTGTGTTTGACGTGTAAGAACAAATTCAACATATCTACAACTTAACTGCAATGTCAGTGACCACTGTTACATTGAGGTGAGGTGAGGTGAAATGGGGTTTAACGTCGAGTTCAAGATTATTGCACTCATATAGCGGTGTGTGTGTGTGTGTGTGTGTGTGTGTGTGTGTGTGTGTGTGTGTGTGTGTGTGTGTCTGCTTGTACTATTTCGGACAAATGCTGATGGTGGCTTAACATGAACACCCAATTCAGACACAGTATACTGACTCCGAGCTGACCAGTCCTTGTTTTAGCCCACGAATGCCGACCGCCAGGCAGGGTAACAATAAGTACAATTTTTTAATGCCTTGTGGTTTGACGCGGCCGTCTTTGGATCTTGCCTCCTGGGATGATAATCTTTGACTTTATATAGGTGGAGATCTTCACACTACGATGTTGGCGACGTACTAGTCCACTGTAGACGCTAGTACGTCATGCAGTTTCGCAGGTAGTGTCTCCACACGTGCATACTAGGTGTCCCCGTGAAGAATTGTCTAGAATTGGTCTTCAGCCACCCATGCTTGTCGTAAGTAGTGACAAACAAGATTTGCTGGGCAGGCTCATTGACTTGGTTGAAGCATGTCATCGTATCCCAATTGCGTAGGTCGATGCTCATGATGTCAATCACTGGGCCGCCGTTAAACATCAACCATTATTAGCTGTACACAAGATCATGTACATGTCCAAGAGGTACATACACCATGTTTAAACTGACACTCAAGACGCCTTGCATAAATCAACACCTTCTGCGGACAGAACACGCCAGAGGGACACAGACAGACACGGGTGGGGGGTCTGGAACACCCCATCACTGTTTGTAATATGTGAAGTATAATTGCATCGGGTGATGAGACTCGGTCACTATTGCGTCATCTTGCTTTGGTGGCAAGTCCTTTTCTCATGATTTCGACCACCGGTTTGCAGGTGTATTATTCACAGGAAGCTTGATGGAGCTGTAGTATTGCGAGCGTTAAAGAACATTCACTCACCAACAAAGCAGGTTGACAGAAATAACATACATCGGCTAACAAACCAACATATCAACTCAAGAAACACACCTATGTATATGTTTGTCAGCTCGTGCTCGTGGGTCTCATGAAAGAGTGAACGTCAAAGACTTGCGTCGCCATGATATACAAACGAATACTGTTCAAGCAACGCTTAACCAAACTCACTCACATATGCACCAGCCACAGTTAACGGAACTCTCAGGAACTTAAATATTCTGAAACAGACCATCACGTCAGTATCTCACAGACATGATACAAGACACAGCTGTGCCAAATTTCAAGGTGTTGATTTCACGCCGGCATCGCTGTACTGGTCATTGAAGCTGAGCGGAACATACCCCCTTAGGCGGTATAAAAAACACAAAAGATTATGAATGAAAACTATAGTGTAATATACACATTATCATCTCATAACGAATGCGTATGAAAGGTTAAGTCGTGCTGACCATATCACTTTTTAATATGTTGCTGTTCTCGTTTGACAAAGCTGTCAGAGACAAACGCAAGCAAGCCATGGAAGAGCACTATAATGAGTTCTATAGCTGTATGGTAGTGGAATGCAAACAGTACCCCTATAATATAGTATACTCTGGCAGAAGAACACAAATCAATAGTTTAACAATGTACAAAAAAGAAACTCCCACGTACAAAGGGTTCATACCATATGTGTTAGTCAAAATAATCTTCTAATGGGTAGAAACAGACAACCGTTGAGGGAAACAAATATATAAATGTCAACCAGATTTGTCTTGAAATAAACCAGAGTACACATGTGAGTAAAAAAACGTTTTATGCCGCTTTCATCAATATTTCAGTGATATCACGGCGGGGAGGCAACGAATGGACTTTACTACCGTATGGGAATGAAACCCGGTCTTGGGCTTGATGAGACAACGCTGAACCACTTGGCTATCTCGACCAACCCCTGAGTACACATGTAAGCGTTGAGCCTTTATGCGATACTACTTCCCCACCGACATCACGACAAATCATCTATGCAACAACAAATACCGTCTTCTCGTGATTCTAAGTATGTCCGATACATATATAACGCTGCATGTTTATATCAGTGACAACTGACAAAAGGTCTCAATCTTGAACTATCATAGTGAAGGTCAATGTGAAACTGTGACATCATGTGTAGGTGAAGCTTCTGCAATTGGCATAGCTTTCCTTGATTTGTGGAAAAAAGTGGAAAATACATTTACATGATGGCTTACCAAGTAACCATAAAGAAAACACATAGTTTGTATTTACATATATGTACATACATAGTTCAATGACAATAACATCACAATGTCCGTTCTAGAAAAAAACCATGTAAACACGCTTCAAAAGCTTAAGGGTTCTATTTATACATATTTAAATTAAACAGACTACATTTTGTCCTGAAGTCATACTTCTAAATCTAAATTAGGATTTGACCAGTATCAAAACTACAAATGTCGTTGATTTTTCCCCGCTAAATAAGGGTAACAATGCATCAATCTGTACAAGAAAAACACACACCATGCACCGCTGACGTCATTCTTTCACTTCCAGGCATACAATCAGACAAATCATACCTCGATAACGGGTAACACAACGGCCTTACGTGCCGCATACAATTAAATACTGACAACATATTTGCATAAACCATTCTGTGCAATACGGTCTATTCAAGACAGAGAACTATCCAGAATTAAGTAAACATAAACATGCCAAAAAGTAGTTTCTCCGCTATGCATAGTTAATAATATTATCCCAAGTTGGTCATAGGAGATTTTCCTGCACCAGACCCATGAAATTGGGCGGTTTTACTGTGAAGAGTGCACAGCGTTCTCTGTAAAACGATTTGAACAATTTCTGTGTCTTCATTGATGTAAAACCCGTTCACGCCTGTTCTACACAGCCAAAGCCCACGTCCTGAATGCCACCCACTGCACTATCAATATTCACAATCAACACGCCCCGTCTCGCAAAGCCAAGTTAGCATTCTACGAGTCCCTTACCGCATTCAACCTTTGAATGTCTGCAGCCACTGAACCACCATTCACAGTGTGGATTTCCTTACCACACATTCAACCGTTGAATGTCTGCAGCCACTGAACCACCATTCACAGTGTGGATTTCCGTACCACACATTCAACCGTTGAATGTCTGCAGCCACTGAACCACCTTTCACAATGTGGATTCCCTTACCAAACATTCAACCGTTGAATGTCTGCAGCCACTGAACCACCATTCACAGTGTGGAAGTCCTTACCTCTAAACTATCATTCATGACCTTTTTTGCGTTGTACTGCAAAACAAACATTCACTGAAAGAATGTCCCCTATCACGCAACTTACATTCAGATGTTGGATTCCTGTCGTACAGCCAACATGCTGAATTCTCGCGTCACACAATCACGCCCTGAGGGCCCCATAATACGATCTAACATCCGACTTACTTTGCCCTACCACACAAAACACCAATCTCATTCTGTGTGTCTCTTCCTACCCAACCACGATCCGATTAACATTGCCCAGCCACAAAAAATATCCTTATCAATCCCAGTCTCGTCCCAAACAACCAGCACTCGCGCATAACATGTCCCACTGCACATATCCAATATTCTCACTACGCATTCATACAGATAAGTGCTGATTTGAATTAGACAAGCATATTCTTCAGTTGTTTGTGTCCATCATGGCTCAATACTGTATTCAAACGCCTTGGCTAGTAACAACAAAGATGTGCGTTAACGTAAACACCTGTTCTTTCCTGATAAGCAACAGTTGGAAGGTCTCTCTTTCTAAATGTTTGTGAAGACCGGCTAATATCTGCCCTGTGTTTGTGCAACCATCATATCATCATATGAAGGGTATGAAAGTGACCGCCTGAAGACAATACCACAAGAGCCTCGCATATTTATCATAAGCGTCTTATTCCTGTATATTAAATGCCTCTTTAAGTCTTGTGCTCTGGTAATCAGCACTGTAGACAATAGATGGCAAGATGACAGCCAAGGAGGTTACTATTATAAGGAAGTAAACGACAAAGATAATTCTGTCGAGGATCAAAGCTGAAGCCTTCCATTCTTTCACCATACTTTCGCGGCGATCTTTGTCCGCCAAACGTTGTTTGTGAGCACGAATAAACTCTCGAAGTTCTCCAAGTTTGGCGTCAATAGAAGCAATTGGACCTGTGGCATGGGTGCATTTTAGATGCGTAAGCACTTCAGTTGAAGCCATGGGATCTTGGCTCCACTTGGTGTCCTCCTCTCCAGGGTTACTGGTTGTTGCCGCTGCCTCCTCTCCTCTGTCCTTCTTCTGGAATGGTCGAACAAGGTCTTCCATGTGCAGCACCTTAGCGCATACATCAAACAGAACCTACAACACACAGCGTTCTATAAGTCAGCGCGTTCATCTCCTGTAATACAGCACTTAGGGACAAGAATGCATAATGCCAGACGCCTTCTGCCATTTTGGTGTTAAAGGGATTTGCACGAGCTCATTTCTAAGTAACGGTTTCCATGTTTTTTCAGACGCCATTTTTGCCGCCTCGCTAAAATGACAGGGGGGTTTGGGGGCTTGCCCCCACTCAACAGCTTGAGTAAAATGCTTTCGTAAGTAAATGTTATCATGTTTAATTACCAAAGTAGATACAAAATACAACGTGTTCACTAAAATGTGGCTCCGACGGATCTCACTGATGAGGTCGTCGCACGCCATTATGGAACTTCTATTTTCGAGTGTTTTTTCGATGTTGAAGTCCAATTTCCGACGTTAATGCATCGCTTTGATATTCAATTTCAAGGTTTAATCATATTAAACCATACAAGTGCAAGAGGTGTCATTTTGTCTGCTTAGTTTTAGCTTTATCGCCCTATTTATCAAATAGTGATGCTGTTGCGTGCTGGCGGATAGGTGTTTGGTATAACGCATTTGTACCCTCTTAGGATCACTGTGGTATACTTCACACCTTAAGAATGAAATTGAGGAAAAATGTATAAAATGTCAAGCCACAAGGCTTCATGTTCAGATGACGTAATGAAGCAATCTGTGACGTCACAATGAATGACGACATATCATATAATGCTCAACAACGACTCAATGTGCTGCCATTTCACCACGTGCACATTTATTACACGCGAGGATTCTACCCTTGGTAATATATTTAAGGATCAATTTTACAAAATGTGAATTCACAGCGTGACAGTGATTCAAAGCCACTCACCGCCTTCATGGGAGGAGGAATGTTTGCTCTCTGACCATATGCCGCCCAGTTGACCACCAGCACATTGAGGAATGATGATAGGGTGATGATGATCATGTTGAGGCAGTAGTAAGTACCTGTAACATCAGCAGTTTGTACCAGTTACGCATGTGTTTATGAATACCACAAACAGGAGACGTTGTAAAACGGAATAATAAACTTGAATAAATTGTGCATTACAAGCCAAAGTAGTATAAGCCAAATGTTCATAGCAAAGGGCGAGTATCCCTGGACATTTAGAGTTACCATTTAGAGAGACTATTTGGAATTAAATATATCTTCGTAATTTAGTAATATGAATTCATAGATATGCCGACATCCACGCACGCGACACCTAAAATGTAAGTATGAAACATCAACGCGAGAGAATAATAAGTCGCCATTATATGTCGTGAAGATTGTTTGTGCGCAAAAGCAATATTGAGATGAAAATTATATGAATGGATCACTGTTCAGTGATGACACAAGGTGTTCACAATAATGTTTAGCAAACCCTGCTCTACCGGTAGCATCCCGCCACTTAAACCATTTGCGAAAAAAGTGCTAGAAACGTTTCAAACTGCGTTCAGCTTTCACTGCTCCACTACCACATCTTGTACTCCTCCACAAACACACCCTGTACTCCTCCACTAGCACATCCCGTACTATTACACTACCACATTCTGTACTCATACACTACCACACCCTATCCTCCTCCACAAACACACTTTTTACTCCTACACTACCACATCCTGTACTTTTCCACTACCACACCCTGTCCTCCTTCACAAACACACCCTTTACTCCAACACTTCTCCATCCTGTCCTCCTCCACTACCACATCTTGGACTCCTCCTCAAACACACCCTGTACTCCTCCACTAGCACATCCTGTACTACTACACTACTAAATCCCGTACTCCTCCACAAACACATCCTATCCTCCTCGACAAACTCACCCAACACTCCTGATCTACCACATCCTTTACTACTACACTACTACATCCTGTCCTCCTCCACAAACACACCCTTTACTTCTCCACTACTACACTCTGTCCTCCTCCACAAACACATCCTGTCCTCCTCCACAAACACACCCTTTACTTCTCCACTACTACACTCTGTCCTCCTCCACAAACACATCCTGTCCTCCTCCACTACCACATCCTTTACTACTCCTCAACAGACACATCCTGTCCTCCTCCACTACCACATCCTTTACTACTCCTCAACAGACACATCCTGTTCTCCTACACTACCATATCTTATACTCCTCCACAAACACAACCTGTACTCCTACAATACCACATCCTATCTTCCTCGACAAACTCACCCTATACTCCTACACTACCACACCCTATCCTCCTCCACAAACACATTATTTACTCCTACACTACCACATCCTATCCTTCTCCACAAACTCACCCTATACTCCTGATCTACCATATCCTGTACTCCTCCACTACCACATCTTGGAATCCTCCACTAGCACATCCTGTCCTCCTCCACAAACACACCCTGTCCTCCTCAACTACCACATCCTTTACTACTTCTCAAAAAACACATCTTGTACTCCTACACTACCATATCTTGTACTCCTCCACTACCACATCCTGTCCTCCTCCACAAACACATCCTGTACTCCTCCACAAACACATCATCTACTCCTACACTACCACACCCTTTACTCCTACACTACCACATCCTTTACTCCTACACTACCACACCCTGTCCTCCTCCAAAAACACATCCTGTCCTCTCAACAAACACATCTTGTACTCCTACACTACCACATCCTTTACTCCTCCACAAACACATCCTCTCCTCCTCCATAAACACATCCTGTTAGCCTCCACAAACACACCCTGTACTCCTACACTACTACATCCTGTACTCCTACACTACCGCACCCTATCCTCCTTCACAAACACATTTTGTCCTCCTCAACAAACACATCCTGTACTCCTACACTACCACATCCTGTACTCCTACACTACCACACCCTTTACTCCTTCACTACGACTTCTTGTACTCCTACTCTACCACATCTTGTACTCCTCCACAAACACACCCTGTACACCTACACTACTACATCCTGTCCTCCTCCACAAACACACCCTGTCCTCCTACACTACCACATCCTTTACTACTCCTCAACAAACACACTTTGTACTCCTACACTACCACATCCTCCCCTCCGCAACAAACACATCCTGTACTCCTCCACAAACACACCCTGTACTCCTACACTACTACATCCTGTACTCCTACACTACCGCACCCTGTCCTCCTTCACAAACACATTTTGTCCTCCTCAACAAACACATCCTGTACTCCTACACTACCACATCCTGTACTCCTACACTACCACACCCTTTACTCCTTCACTTCGACTTCTTGTACTCCTACACTACCACATCTTGTACTCCTCCACAAACACACCCTGTCCTCCTACACTACCACATCCTTTACTACTCCTCAACAAACACACTTTGTACTCCTACACTAACGCATCCTGTACTCCGCCACAAACACATCCTGTCCTCTCAACAAACACATCCTATTCTCCTACACTACCACATCCCGTCCTCCTCCACAAACACACCCTGTCCTATTCCACAAACACATCCTGTACTCCTCCACAAACACATCCTGTCTTCCTACACTACAACATTCTGTACTCCTACACTACCACACCCTTTACTCCTACACTACCACATCTTGTACTCCTACACTACCACACCCTGTCCTCCTACACTACTACATCCTGTACTCCCACACTACCACATCCTGTACTCCTACACTACTACATCCTGTCCTCCTCCACAAACACACCCTGTCTTCCTACACTACCACATCCTTTACTACTCCTCAACAAACACACTTTGTACTCCTACACTACCACATCCTCTCCTCCGCCACAAACACATCCTGTACTCCTCCACAAACACACCCTGTACTCCTACACTACTACATCCTGTACTCCTACACTACTACATCCTGTCCTCCTCCACAAACACACCCTGTCCTCCTACATTACCACATCCTTTACTACTCCTCAACAAACACACTTTGTACTCCTACACTACCACATCCTCTCCTCCGCCACAAACACATCCTGTACTCCTCCACAAACACACCCTGTACTCCTACACTACTACATCCTGTACTCCTACACTACCGCACCCTGTCCTCCTTCACAAACACATTCTGTCCTCCTCAACAAACACATCCTGTACTCCTACACTACTACATCCTGTCCTCCTCCACAAACACACCCTGTCCTCCTACATTACCACATCCTTTACTACTCCTCAACAAACACACTTTGTACTCCTACACTACCACATCCTCTCCTCCGCCACAATCACATCCTGTACTCCTCCACAAACACACCCTGTACTCCTACACTACTACATCCTGTACTCCTTCACAAACACATTTTGTCCTCCTCAACAAACACATCCTGTACTCCTACACTACCACATCCTGTACTCCTCCACTACCACACCCTTTACTCCTTCACTACGACTTCTTGTACTCCTACACTACCACATCTTGTACTCCTCCACAAACACACCCTGTCCTCCTACACTACTACATCCTGTCCTCCTCCACAAACACACCCTGTCCTCCTACACTACCACATCCTTTACTACTCCTCAACAAACACACTTTGTACTCCTACACTACCACATCCTCTCCTCCGCCACAAACACATCCTGTACTCCTCCACAAACACACCCTGTACTCCTACACTACTACATCCTGTACTCCTACACTACCGCACCCTGTCCTCCTTCACAAACACATTTTGTCCTCCTCAACAAACACATCCTGTACTCCTACACTACCACATCCTGTACTCCTACACTACCACACCCTTTACTCCTTCACTACGACTTCTTGTACTCCTACACTACCACATCTTGTACTCCTCCACAAACACACCCTGTACTCCTACACTACTACATCCTGTCCTCCTCCACAAACACACCATGTCCTCCTACACTTCCACATCCTTTACTACTCCTCAACAAACACACTTTGTACTCCTACACTACTACATCCTCTCCTCCGCCACAAACACGTCCTGTACTCCTCCACAAACACACCCTGTACTCCTACACTACTACATCCTGTACTCCTACACTACCGCACCCTGTCCTCCTTCACAAACACATTTTGTCCTCCTCAACAAACACATCCTGTACTCCTACACTACCACATCCTGTACTCCTACACTTCCACACCCTTTACTCCTTCACTACGACTTCTTGTACTCCTACACTACTACATCCTGTCCTCCTCCACAAACACACCCTGTCCTCCTACACTACCACATCCTTTACTACTCCTCAACAAACACACTTTGTACTCCTACACTAACACATCCTGTACTCCGCCACAAACACATCCTGTCCTCTCAACAAACACATCCTATTCTCATACACTACCACATCCCGTCCTCCTCCACAAACACATCCTCTACTCCTCCACAAACACATCCTGTCTTCCTACACTACCACATCCTGTACTCCTACACTACCACACCCTTTACTCCTACACTACCACATCCTGTACTCCTACACTACCACATCCTGTCCTCCTCCACAAACACACCCTGTCCTCCTACACTACCACATCCTTTACTACTCCTCAACAAACACACTTTGTACTCCTTCACTACTACATCCTGTACTCCGCCACAAACACATCCTGTCCTCTCAACAAACACATCCTGTACTCCTACACTACCACATCCTTTACTCCTCCACAAACACATCCTCTCCTCCTCCAGAAACACACCCTGTACTCCTACACTACCACATCCTGTACTCCTACACTACCACACCCTGTCCTCCTTCACAAACACATCCTGTCCTCCTCAACAAACACATCCTGTACTCCTACCCTACCACATCCTGTACTCCTACACTACCACACCCTTTACGCCTTCACTACGACTTCCTGTACTCCTACACTACCACATCTTGTACTCCTCCACAAACACACCCTGTACTCCTACACTACTACATCCTGTCCTCCTCTACAAACACACCCTGTCCTCCTACACTACCACATCCTGTACTCCGCCA